CTTCGATCGTACCCCCCTCTTGGAGCATCTCTTCCTTACCTGCCGGGTGTAATCGGTGCAGCCCCTGAAACAGGGGAAGACAGGACGGATGGAAGGGGGAGGGAGAACGATGGAGCGCGGGCAGGAGGGGGCCAGGAGCAGAAAACACGTGGCAGAACCAGACGGGCCCGTCGGGCGGGTAGACCCTACCGGGCGGGTCGGGAAGGCGGGCCCAAGCGGCCAGGTTGAGAAGGCGTGTTGCTGAAGCGTGAGTATTGCATGAATCGCGACCAGAGCTCGAGCGATCGCGCGATTCCCAAGTAAATCGTGGCAAATACAAAGGCAAAAGCGTGATTCCTGAGTGTCGAAGGCGCGGCATTCGAATAATTCACACGCGAGAGCGCGAATTCTATATCAATTGTGAGGAAGTCTCGCGCGAGAGCGCGATTTTGAAATAAATCTTGACGAAGAATTAAGCGGGAGCCGCTGTTATTGTAAACCGGTCGCCAGGGGCACAGTTTGGTGACCCAGCTGTCCCTTGTAGAAGCCGTGGGCGAGCCACGGGAGAAGCACTTGAATTGAAAAATCCAACGGTACACGGGCAGGGGGATCAACAACAAATATGTTTATGAATGAGATTTCAACAACCGCAACAGCAGCATCAGCAACAGCAGCAGCAACAACAACAATAAATTCAAGACTGCTCGCTCTTACCTGCGCGCATGCCACTCAATACGTATATCCCAAACCCTCGGTACCCGCCCTCTTCTTCTTCGATCGTACCCCTCTGGGGGCATAGCTTCAATATCTGCCGGGTGTAATTGGCGCAGTCCCTGAAACATAGGAAAAGAGGACGGATGGAAAGGGAAGGGAGAAGGATGGAGCACGGAATTAGCAGAAGGCTACCAGCAGCAGAAAGCACGTGGCAGAACCAGACGGGCCCATCGGGCGGGTAGACCATAACGGGCGGGTCGGGAAGGCGGGCCCAAGCGGCCAGGTTGTGAAGGCGTGTTGCTGAAGCGTGAGTATTGCATGAATCGTGAGGAGAGCTCGAGCGATAGCGCGATTCCCAAGTAAATCGTGACAGAGACAAAGGCAAAAGCGTGGTTCCTGAGTGTCGAAGGCGCGGCATTTAAACAAATTGTGAGGAAGTCCCGCGCGAGAGCGCGAATTCTATATCAATTGTGAGAAATTCCCGCGCGAGGGTGAGGAAGAATTAGGCGGGAGCCGTTGTTGTTGTTGTAAACCGGGGGCCAGGGGCACAGTTCGGTGACACCCAGCTGTCCCTTGTAGAAGCCGTGGGCGAGCCCCAGCAGGAGCATTTCAATTTCAAACTACAACGGTTACCGGGCAGAGGGGATCTACAATAATTCTTATTGAGGAGAGCTCAACAACAACAACAACAACAACAGCAGCAACAACAAGAACAATCATTTTAAGATTGCTTGCTTCTATCTGCGCACGTGCCAAACAATACGTATATCCCAAACCCTCGGTACCCGCCCTCGTCGTTTTCGATCGTGCCCCCTTAGGGGCATATCTTCCTTACCTCCCACGCGCATGTAGCGCAGCTCCTACAACAAGTGAAAAGAAGGCGGGTGGAAGGGGGAGGGAAAAGAATGGAGCACGATGGAGCACGAGAGAAATTTGCAGGAGGGGGGCAAGGAGCAGAAAACAAGTGGTAGAACCAGACGGGCAGATCGGGTGGGCAGACCCATAGCGGGCAGGTCGGGAAGGCGGGCCCGGGCGACCAGGTCGAGCAGGCGGGTTGTTGAAGCGTGGGTCCTGCATGAATCGCGAGGAAGTCTCAAGCGATAGCGCGATTCCCAAAGAAATCGTGAGAAAAACCACAGCGAGAGCGTGATTCCTGAGCGCCGAAGGCGCATCGTCTGAATAAACTGCGGGGGAGTCCAAAGCGAGAGCGCGATTCGGATGCAAATTGTGAGGAAGTCCGGCGCGAGAGCACGATTTGGGAATAAGTTTTGAAGAAGTATCAGGCGGGAGCCGCTGCTGTTGTAATTGAAAACAGGGGCCATCAACACACGTTGAGCCCCAATGACTTCCCCTGATAAAGAACAAGGTGCGAGCCCCAGGGGAAGCACTTCATTTGAAAAATACCATGGTCACCGGAGGGGGGATCAACAATATGTTGTCTTCCGCAGTGAGAGCTCACCGACAAAAGCAATAACAACAACAACAACAACAGCAACAACAACAATAATAATAACAACAGCAGCAACCGCAGCAACATCAACAGCAACAACAACAAGGGCAACAACAACATCATCATCAACAACAACAGTACTAACAATTTTGAAAGCTCGTTCTGATTTGTTATCGTGCCACTCAACACGTATATCCCAAACCTTCGGTACCCGTCCCCTTCGTCTTCGATCGTGCCTACTTTGGGGTATATCCTGTTTGCCTTCCACGTGCACTTCGAGCAGTCCCTAAATCAGGGAAAGAGGGGACTGATGGAATGGGGGAGGGAGAAGGATGGAGCACGACAGAAATTAGCAGGAGGGGGGGCTAGGAGCAGGAAGCACGTAGCAAAACCAGACGGGCAGATTTGGCGGGCAGACCCTAGCGGGTCAGGAGTGCGGGCCCAGGCGGTCTCGTCGAGCAGACGGGTTCTGAAGCGTGGGCCTCGCATGAATCGTGAGGAGGTCTCGAGCGATAGCGCGATTCCCAAGTAAATCGTGGGGAGATCGAAAGCTAGAGCGTGATTCCTGAGTGTCGAGGGCGCGGCGTCTGAATAAAGCGCGATGAAGTCCCACGCGAGAGCGCGATACCTGTACAATGTGTGAGGACGTCCCGCGCTAAAGCGCGATGTTACAATCAAGTGTCAGGGCGTATCAGGCGGAAGCCGTTGTTGTTATGTTTCGGGGCCCAAAAATGCAATTCGAGCACGAAAACCTTCCCATCATTATTTGTCAAGATTGAGACTTCGACAACAATCAAGTTAAGGCTGTTCGCCCTGATGCGCTCACGTGCCATTCAACACCTATATCCCGAACAATCGATGCCCGCCCTCTTCCTATTCGATCGTACCCCCTTGGGTGCATAGTTTCCTTACCAGCCACGTATACTTGGAGAAGCCCCTAACACAACGGAAGGGAGGGAGGCTGGAAGGAATGGACAAGGGGGAGGGAGAAGGATGAAGGACGAGAGAGGTTAGCAGAAGAAAACTTAGGAGCAGAAAAATACATGGGTGAACCAGTCGGGCGGATCGGGTGGGTAGACCCGAATGGACGGGTCGGGAAGGCGAACCCAAGCGGCCCGATCGAGCAGGCGGGTCGCTGAAGCGTGAGTTCTGCATGAAGCGCGAGGAAATCTCGAGCGATAGTGCGATTCCCAAGTAAATCGCGGAGAGATCGAAAGCCAGAGCTTGATTCCTGAATGTCGAGGGCGCGGGGTCTGAAGAAATTGTGAGGAAGTCCCACGCGAGAGCGCGAGTCCTGGATAGAGCATGGGGAAGTCCCGCGCGAGAGCGCGACGTTGGAATAACTGGTGAGGAAGGACGTATCAGACGGGAGACGTTGATGTAGTAATCCGGGGGGCCAACAAACATTCTGACGCTCAAGATTTTCCCTTGTAAACAACAGGGTGCAAACCCCGAAGGGAAATTTTTAATGTCAAAACGAAGATGGACACCGGGCAAGGGGGATCGACAATAAGTGTGCTCTAGAAAGGAGAACTCAACAACAAAACGAAAGCGAGAAAAGCGGGAATCGACGAATTGGGATTCACGTTTGAAGGACAAGGCCGCATTTGAGGGCCAGGAGGTTCAGAACGAACACAATTGTTTCTTGTGAGGGTGCTTGTACGTTTATGCTCCTTTCGTTGGTGTTTCTACTGCTGATATTGCTGGTTTTGCTGGTCGAATGATGTGACGCATTGCATATTCATCCGTCCCCTCTCCGTTCTCCCCATCATTTTCCTCGTCATCCTTGTTATGATTTTTGTTGTCACGTTCTTGTCAGGCAGGAACGTCGACAGCGAAAAGGTAACTTTTGAACTACGCCTGCGTGCCCTTCCGAACACACTAAATTGAACGCCTTACCTCTTAGCGTCAGCACCAGCGCTCGAGTCGTCGGGCTCAAGCGATCCTGCGTAATACTGTCCGAGGTGCGCTGGCCGCGTTGTCTCCCATGCCTTTCTGTCGCGATTCGGACTCGAGCTCCTCTTCTGGCGACGAAGTGGAGGACAAGGACGCCGATCGCCTCTCATACGTCGGACAAGCAGCGTACGACGAACTGCGCACCCACCACAACCACTACTGGCATGAGGCTTGGAACGTTACCTCGGGAAGGATTGTCGGCGAAGTGCATCAGACTCCGGCGTACCTGCAGGGGGGGCGGATTGTGGGCACCTGGGGGGACCCAAACGACCCACGAGATGGACACTCCGATTGGTTTCCCAAGAAGTTAGGCGAGATCATCAGCAAGACCCGCTATTGGTGCGATATCGCGAGTTTGGGGCCACCCGATGGTTTGTTCATGGAGGAGATGAAGAAAGCGATATCCACCGTAAATCAAAATGCGATCGAGCGAGGTGAAGAGAACGTCGTCATTATCCGTGTGATCTTTGGCAACATCATCGGCATGCCTGTAGACTGCACTGCCGTGCTCAAGGAGCTCACGAGCGACATCGACGAGGACGAGTGCAAAATCCAGATGTGGGTCGGAGCCTGGCGACGGGGAACTTCCTGGAACCATGCGAAGATTATCGCGGTGGACGGTAAGTATCTGCACACGGGAGGGCACAACCTGTGGGACCCACACTATCTCGAAAAAGAAAGAACGCCATAAACATAAGTTTTCTGAGCTCCGCGCGGATTTCTTGGATCGGCGCTGGGCCCCCCTGGCGGCGCCTCTGGCGCCGCCCCTGGCGCGCGGACCGCGCCAGGGACAGGGCCCAGCGCCGAGCCAAGAAGTCTGCGCGGAGCTCCGAAAGCTTACGCTGATGCAGCTCATTTCTTCTTCTGCGATCTCAAGAACAATCCGGTCCACGACCTCTCGATGCAGGCTGAAGGGCGGTGTACCCACGACGGGCACCTCTACTTGAACAAGCAGTGGGAGCACATCAAGCACATGCAGTCCGGCTTTGTGGGTTGGGTCGTAGACCACCTTCCCGACCGCATGCCCACGATCCTGCAGAACCGCGTCACGGTGACCGAGTTCCCGGAGAACGGAGAGACGCCCGAGTTCCCCCCGACGTACACGAAGGACAAAGTCCCCTTCAATCACGACGGCTTCCAGGGGCACGTGCCCATGATCACGATCGGACGTTACGGCAAGATTCTGCTGAAGAATCGCCCCTCGGACCAGGCTTTCATCGCGATGGTGAACGCCTCCAAGAAGATCATCCGCATGGCTCTCCAGGACATCGGGCCCTGCTGCTTCCCGGGGACGAAGATAGCACTTCCCGGGTGCACTTGGCCCAAGCCGTACCTTCAGGCACTCGGCAAGGCCATCTTGGAACGGGGTGTTGACCTGGAGATCGCAGTGAGTAATCCTGGCTCAATTCCAGGTAACCTCAGTCCCACCGAAGCGCTCTATGGGAACGGTTGGGAGTGCGCTGATGTCGCTGCTGAAATCATCAAGACGATCCAGGTGCTTGCGGCAAACCCCGCCGCCGTGGCAGCGCAGCATCACAGCAGGAAAAGGTTTAATTCAAGACACGCTCCAGTTCAGCGCCTGCTACCACCGCAGCCTCTTGAGGGCATTTGGGGAGTCTGCTTGGGACCTCTCCAAGGTCGCAGGGGCCGTCTTGGGTGTCATGGTTCTTCGGATCCCTCCCGAAGAGGCTCAGTTTGGTCATCTGCGGGCCGTCTGAGCGAGGCGTGGGGCCCTCCTGCGGTGACACTATGCCGACTTGAGAAAGGATTCTCGGGCCGTCTTCGGAAAAGCATTGGTTCTCGTCAGCTCATCGGCGAATTCTTCGGCGTCTGAGCGTCCCTTCTTCCTCTCGGCCGTCCCCCCCCCCTTCTCTCTTTGCCCGCCGGCCGATTCGCTAGTCAGTGCCCTTTTCTAGCTTTTCGCTGGAGCGGAGTTCGCCGCCTCGCCGCCGACGAAAGAAGTGTTTCTCTACGTGGCCCCAGGCCTATCCAGCCACCGTGCATCGGTTGTGGGTCAGAGTATTATTGGATGCTTCTCGGGGTCTCTTGGAATGCCTCTTGAAGGCCTCTGGGGCCTCGTGGGCACCTCGTGAGTGCCTGTTTGGACTTCCTGGGGGGCCTCCAGGAGGCCTCTTGGTGAACTTGTGTGGACCTCGAGGCTGTGATTATCTTGGGGTGGAGAGTCCGAAACGTCGGAGCCCCTTGGGCCCTCTTGGAGACCCCTGGGGCCATCCCGGGGCGAGCTGTGTGGCATTTTGGGCCGTCTCGGGCGCCTTCTTAAAACCAAACAGCCGTGAACGCGAAAGCCAGTTAGAAAACAATGTTGCTCAATGAATGTGACATTTTGCAGTGCCCCCCCGAGCATCCAAGACGGCCCACTGAGGGCTCCAGGACGGGCCCTGAAACCATGTTGGCCAATGTTGGACGTGTGGACTCCCAACCATGCCCCGAGGCCTGCAGAAAAGTCACGCGACAACCCCAGGATCGCCCAAGAGCGCTCAGAACTCTGGGCCCCGGGCCTATGAAAAAGCTGCACCGTGCAGATACATCTCAGGGTGACGGGGGCTGAGCGGTCTTGCATTGCTTCTGGGTGCGTGGCCGAAGCGGGATTCCGCGGAATCGGATCGTGTCCTTCTTGCTGCCCGCCCCGCGGCACGCCACGCGACCCACCCAGGACCCACCCACGACCCACCCGCGACCCACGCGCGACCCACGCGCGACCCGCACGCGACCCACGCGCGACCCCCCCGCGACCCCCGCGAGGACCCCCCCCCGCGACCACCGCGCGGCCCGCCCCGCGAGGCCACGCGCGCCCCCCCCCCGCGGCCCGCCGACCCGCCAGGAGATTGCTCAAACAACCATTCGACTGCGGCGGCTCGAGCCTCGTAGACCGCTGGCGAACCACAACCGGGGAACACGTGGCGCCCAGGAATCGATGCTGCTGCTCGTCCTCCGCCCCCTCTCCTCCTCCTCCCCCTCCTCCTCCTCCTCCTCCTCCTCCTCCTCCTCCTCCTCCTCCTCCTCCTCCTCCTCCTCCTCCTCCTCCTCCTCCTCCTCCTCCTCCTCCTCCTCCTCCTCCCCTCACTCCGATTGCGGGGGCTACGATGGGGTCACGGGTGCCCCGGGCCGCCGCCGCTGCCACAACGGGGGAACGCGGGGCCCCCAGGCCACGGCCCCGACCACGAGATCGGCCCCCTGGCAGCACAAGAGGCTCCCAGCACGTCCCAAGACGCTCAGAGGGCGGCCCCACGGGGCTTGAGCACTGCCCAACGAGGCTCCAAGACTGCCCTGGAGGCATCCACGACGCCAACAGAGCCATTCAGGAGAGCTCCCACGATGCCTCCAAGAGGCCGAGATCATTGCTTGCCAGCTTGGTTTCCAAGCTCTCTCCTGTGTTGGGTCCTTGTTGTTGTTTGCATCCGCCGCGCCCCCGCATCTCCTTCTTCATTCCGACATTTCTCCTCCCCCTCTCTGCCTCCGCTTGATTCAAGGGCGCAAAAAAAACGCCCCTACTCTGGTTTAGGAGGCGCTGTGCGCTGAACCTCCTGTGGGCTAACAGGGTAAATCCTGCGTGATGCGCGGCGTCTTGGCGGCTCTCTCTTTGGGCGTTCCCAGGAGGTTTATAGACCACGCACTTGTAACCCAGGGTAGGGTCGTTTTTTGCATCCCTCATTCATGTCGGCACACCCCCACTCACGCGCTTCGCGGCTCCATAGGGGGCTCCACCTGCGGCCCCATTGGAACACCTCGCACGTCGCACCCGCTTCCAGTTCGGCACACGCACACACTTTTGAGCTGTGGCGGCCTCGCGCGCGGCGACGAGGCGAAGTCAAAGCGGCGGAGCGGGCGCGCGCGACCGGCAAGCGGGATCAGATTCGATCGCCGCGGCAGCCACCATAGCAATTGGGAGCGCACACACACACACACACACACACACACACACACACACACACACACACACACACACACACACACACACGCACACACACACACACACACACACACGCGCGCGCGCACAACATACACACACACACAAACAAACAAACACGCACGCACGAACGCACGCACGCACGCAAGCACGCACGCACGCACGCACGCACGCACACACACACACACACACACACACACACACACACACAACACACGCACGCACGCACGCACGCACGCACGCACTCACGCACGCCCGCACTCCCGCACGCACGCACGCACACCCACACACGCACACACAGACACACCCGCACACACCACACACACACACACACACACACACACACACACACACACACACACACACCACACACCACGCACACGCGCGCACACACAAACACGCACGCACGCACGCACGCACACCACACCCACACCCACACACACACACGCACACACACGCACCACACACATACACACACACACATACACACATACACACATACACACACACACACACACACACACACACACATTCACGCACGCACGCACACACGCACGCACGCACGCACACACACACACACACACACACACACACACACACACACACACACACACACACACACACACACACACACACACACACACACACACACACACACACGCACACACACACACACACACATACACGCGCACGTGCGCGCTCACGTGTCCGCTGCCCCACAGGGACCTCCCTTGCCTTTCAGTAGGGACACTTCTCGCACGCCTCGTGACCCCCTCTGGAGCTGCACTTACGGCCAGAGTTGGCCAGCTCGCATGGGGCAACCGCCTCCAGTTCCGCACACCCTTTAGACGCTTCGTAGCCACATGGGAGCTCAACCTACGAGCCCACTGGGGCCAGTTCGCATGGGGCACGCGCTTCCAGTTCGGCGCAGAATTCACGAGGGGGCCGTGGCTCAATGGGGAACTCCACCTACGACCCGCTAGGGGAAGTCCGAAGACCGTGCCCGCGCGTATTCTGGCAGAGCCCTCACGAGGGTCGCGGACCCGTGGGAAGCTGTCCCTGCGGCCCCAGTCGTTTCGGATCACCCCTCAGGAGGACCGCGGCCCCATGTGGAATTCCACCGACGGCCTCCGTGGGCCCGACCACATGTCGGCACACCCCTCAGGAGCATCGTGACCGGATAGGGGGCTCCACCTACGGCACCAGCGGGCCCGACAGCATGCGGGCCCGCGCTGACGCCGGCACGCCCTTCACCAGGGATCGTGGCCCCCACATCGAGCTCCGCCTACGGACTCAGTGGGCCCGGCTGCGCGCAGGGCGGCACGCATTCCGCGCATGTACCAGCCACCCCTGACGTGGTTGGATGTTGCTGCAGATCGGACACTGTGGAACAATTGGGAGAAGGATTACCTTGCGCACACGCACATCTGACCAGGCCCTGGCCCGCCCGCGCCGCTCCTAAGGGTCCCGCCTGCCGGCGGACACGCGCGTCTCGCCTCACCAGCCCCCCATGATCCACGCCTCTCGCGGCGCGCGGTCGATGAGGAGAGGGACACACCAGTCGCTGCACGCAGGCCTGGGCCCTTCGCTGGGTGACTGTCTCACGGAGCGAAGCAGTATCGCCTTTTTCGGTCTTTAGTAGTATCGCCTTTTCGGTCGAAGTTTGCGGTGGGGAAACCAAAAAAAAAAAAAAACGCTTTTTTTCGGTCTTAAGAACGCAGAGGACTGAGCCCCCGAAAGATCGGCCCCGGGCGGCCCAAAAGGACCCCAGGGTCCCCCGCTGGCCCCAAGGTAGGGGCCCAGAGCGGCCCAAGGGGGCCTCGGGGCGGCCCAAGAGGGCGCCAAGAGGGCTCCAGGAGGACCCCAGGAGACCCTCCACTTCCTCCTCCTCCTCCTCCTCCTCCTCCTCCTCCACTTCCTCCTCCTCCTCCCTCTCTTCTCATCCTCCTCCTCCTCCTCCCCCTCCTCCTCCTCCTCCTCCTCCTCCTCCTCCTCCTCCTCCTCCTCCTCAAGACGGCATCGAGGGGCCCAAGACCGCTTACGGAACGGGGCCGCAAGACAGCCCAAGAGAGCCCCGATACAGTTTAACACCTGCACTGCTCAAAAGGGCCTTAGAATTCTACCATAGTTGAGTGAGTTGCCCGTTGATGTCATACCACACGGACGCTGTGTTTCTGCAACATGTGGCCACCTAAGCTCCTTCCGAAGGCAGGAACGACGCTGATTCGCCATGGGCGTCTTCAATTGTACTATTCATGGTGTTCATCACCACCAGCATCATCACCACCACCACCACTACCACCATCATCATCATCAGCAGCAGCAGCACTCTTCCCTCCTCAGGATTCCTCCGTCTCCTCCCGCAGTCTCACCATTCCCATTCTTGCACATCCCCCATCCTTCATGCACGCTTCCTGCAATTCAGCCTCGCCTCCCCTTCAGCAGGAGGGCACAGGAGTGCGCCAAGAGGACCCTCCGATCGTGAAGACCATTCTGTGCCGTGAGGTACAAGCTGGCCTTCTGACAAGATCAGGGGCCTCCAAACACTCGGTTGGAAGCAGGTCCATGGCGTGCGTCGGCAAAGGCCCCAAGATGGCCCCAGGGTGCCATCGAAACCCTCGTCCTCTTCTTCTTCTTCTTCCTCCTCCTCCTCCTCCTCCTCCTCCTTCTCTCCTGCTCCTCCTCCTCCTCCTCCTCCCTCCTCCTCCTCCTCCTCCTCCTCCTCCTCCTCCTCCTCCTCCTCCTCCTCCTCTTCCTCTTCCGCTTCCTCCTCCTCCTCCTCCTCCTCCTCTTCCTCCTCCTCCTCATCCTCCTCTTCCGCCTCATTATCTCCCTTGTTCCCCTCCTCATCATCCTTCGTCCTCCTGTTCCTCGGCCCCCACCTTTTCCTTATCATCCTCCTAATCCTCCTAATCCTCCTCCTCGTCCTCGTCATCCTCGTCCTTCTCTTCCTCCTCACCACCACCACCATCCTCCTCATCCTTCTCATCATCATCAGCATCATCATCATAATCAGCAGCACCATCATCAGCATCATCATCAATCATTATCATCATCATCATCATCATCATCATCATCATCATCATCATCATCATCATCATCATCATCATCACCATCAGCAGCATCATCATCATCCCCCTCCTCCTCCTCCTCCTCCTCCTCCTCCTCCTCCTCCTCCTCCTCCTCCTCCTCCGCCTTCTCTTCCTCCTCCTCCTTCTCCCGTCCCTCGCTCTCCTCCTCCTCCTCTTCCTCCTCCTCCTCCTCCTCCTCCTTTCCCTCGTCCCTCCTTCGTGAGCCTGCGATGCTCGTGGACAGTGGCGTGACGGCGGACGTTGGCCATGGCACTTCCGAGAGTGACGTGTGGATGTAGTTGCGGTTGGAATATGTGTGTGGGCTGCAAAATCCTCCGCGCGACGCCTTGGCGCCCAAGCTGGCCAGAACTCAAGCGCGCCCGAGGCGCGCAATGGTCACAGGTCAACGTGTTTGGCCCCGGAGGGCCTCGTTGGAGGGCTCTCTCTGGAGCGTCTCTTGGGGGCGTCTGGGGGCCGTTGGGATTCTTCCGGGGAGATCCTGCAGCATGCGCTTACAGCCGAGCAAATAACAAACCTCCTCTCGACAATATGGGCAAGCGTTTCTTGACCAACTTGCCGGGAAACTGGCCCAGTTTCGTGCGCGCGTTCGCCCCTCCAGCGTTCACACGAACATTTGGCCCAGGTCAGTCTTAAGAGACTCCCAGAATGCTGACCCAGGTGTCTTAAATCATGGTTCTCTTGATCACATGTTCGGTTGTGCTCTTTGGGGCGTCTTTGTGGGTGGCCAGGGGGCGTACAGTCAAAATCCATAGTAAGGATGCGTTGCTTCATCAGGGCTGCCCTTCCATCCCTGCTTCTTCGTCCCATCCTGAGCCGATGTTGGCGTCCAAGAAGCTCTAACTGGTAAACGGGACTTCCTGGGGGCCTGCATCATTACGCTGCATCCTTACCATGGGTTTTGTCTGCAATGCAGCCGTCTGCGGGCGATCTCTGCTTAACGGATCGCCGCCTGGAGGCCGAAAGGGGCGTTAGGGATCAAGACCAGGGGATGCGGTTTTCTGCCCATGGTCATTCAAGGGTGGGGGGAGACCGTCCCTGGACGGCTGCAGAAACCCTACCAGACCACAAACAAGCAGCACAACCCGCCTCGGCGTGCCGAAGACAAGGCTGCGGATCCGAGACGAAGTCGACGACGGTGATGACGACACAGAAGACGACGCGGGATTACGGCGCATCATCACGGAGAACCTTCGTATTTGTTACATCAGACAGGGTATGACAAATCAATGGGGTGATGAGAAGACGATGGGTATGCACGCAAAGCATTTCATCATCGACGATATGGCTTACTACATCGGCTCCCAGAACTGGTACGTGTGCGACTTGGCAGAATGGGGCATACTCATCGACGATGTCAACCAGACGAGGAAGGTGATCGAGGAGTACTGGAAGCCGATGTGGGAGAACTCGTACAAGGAGGGCGACGACGCCGACTGTGACGTGGACGATGTGCTGGACGGGCTTGACATAGACAGAGACGGCGAGAGCATGGCCTTCAAGAGCCACAGCGAGAAGCAGCGGCTGCTCCAGGAGGCGGCCGGCAACTTCGGCTCAAGCCGAGCGCGCAGGGGGTCTTCCTCTTAGCAGCCTGCTCGGGGCGAACAGACTCGATGTTGGAGCCAGCTGGGGGGGGCTGAGGTGGCCCAGCACTGCGGCCAGCAGACCCAGACACGATCGCGTCGTCGAAGCTCACGACAGGAGGTGCTTGGCCATTTCTGGCCTCTGGGGGCCCTCGCCAGGCCCTGGGACTGTCAAGAAACGACGCATGATGAAGAAACTGGCCCTTGGGAAAGGGTGGGGCCTGCGGGGGTCGCGCACTAAAAAAATCAGGGCGTCGCAGGTCTGGGGAAAGGGGGGAGAGGAGGGGACCGATCGTCGCCACGGCTGGCCCCGGCTCGAAGAATTAACCCGGCTTCGATCCCAGGATGGGTCTGGGGGCCGATCTTCATCCACTGCTCGCAAAGTGCCTACTCGCAACCGTCCGAAACATACATGGCTTCGATGACACTTATCGTAGATCTCCCGCGGCGGATCCAAGCCATTTGCGAGTAGCTACTGTGCGAGTAGTGGAACGCGCTTGTCAAGATCTGGAGCGAGCTGGCCCCCACCCACCCACCCTTGACCGATCTCCTCGGGGCGGATCTCAGACCGCCCAGCCGCCTCCAACACCAGCGCGGTCAGTGAGCGGCTCAGCTCGAGACACGGGCCTCGAGGAGCAGCAGCACGGCACAGACATGGGAGCATCTGGAGGCCCGCGCGGATCTCCTGCGGGTCGGCGCCCGGGCGCCTCAAACCCCCCTTCGGCGGGCGCCCTCGGGGCCGACCCGCGCCCGGGCGTCCGACGCCCTGATTGTTTCCAGATGCGGTCCCCACCTCCTCCTCCTCCTCCTCCTCCTCCTCCCTCCTCCTCCTCCTCCTCCTCCTCCTCCTCCTCCTCCTCCCTCCTCCTCCTCCTCCTCCTCCTCCTCCTCCCCAGACCTTGGGATCTTGGCACTGCAGTGTTCTCACCACGGGCGTTTTTTCGCTCTGTTTTTCGGGGCCCCCGGGGGCCCCACGGCTCGACCCGGCTCGAAAAAATTGGCGCGGGAAGACGATGTCTGGGCCTCTCTGGTCGCGAGGCTCTGCGATGCTGCATTTTTTTGTTGCTTGCAACGTCGGATCCGCTCCCGAACAGAGTGAAAACCCCACCCTCCCCCTCAGAGATCGTTGGGGGTAGGGGTAGGGTTCGCCTGTGGCCCCCCTATCCGCACGTCGGAGGTCTGGGAGGGACCTGCGCGGGCCTCCGCCAAGTCTGCGTGCGCGCCGCAGTTTGCCCGAGAGGCCCCCAGATGTATCAGTAGGCGCGCGGCGCTCCTGCGCGCATCCGCCGCTGTCGGAGGCCTTGGAGCCTCCCGAGCGCGGGGGGGGGGGGGGGGGGCGATCTTGGGACCGCTACTCCAAATCCCTTATGAATCGACCCCCCCCCTAAAAAAACGCACCGCACCCCCCTCCAAATGCGACCTAATATTCCGGACCCCCCTTTTCGACGGGGCGCCTGAATAAACCGGACCTCCCCAGCTCCAATCCAAAGAAAGCGCCCCAATAAACCGGACCCCCCCAGTTGCAAAAAGGGCGCCTTAAAGAACCGGACCCGGGGGGAGATTCATACGGGATTTGGGGTAGGGGGGGAGGGCTCCTGCCCAGACCTCCTTTCGCTGTAGAGAGAGAGAGAGAGCAGATCAAAGAGCACGGCGCGGGGGGCCCCTGCACGGTCTCTCGGTCTCCCAGAGGGCCCTCCCCGGAGGCCCCGGGGCCGTCGAGAGCGTGCGGCGCAGGCCGAGCAGCGGGTCCCGGGGAGGTGGCCCGGGCCTCTGGGTCATCCTCCTCCTCCTCCTCCTCCTCCTCCTCCTCCCCCTCCTTCTCCTCCTCCTCCTCCTCCTCCCCCTCCTTCTCCTCCTCCTCCTCCTCCCCCTCCTCCTCCTCCTCCTCCCCCTCCTCCTCCTCCTCGCGCTGTGACAAAATCATGACGACGCGTGTCTGGGGGGGGCCGCTTCGGCGGGTGCTGGGGCGACCGCGGTCGGGCGGTGGCTCGTTGTGGAGCGTCTCGGGGCCCGTGTGGGCCAGGTGCCGCCCGGAGGCCATTTTAGGCCCTCCCCGGTGGCAGAGACAGAATTTGAAAGCACGAGTTTCTGCTATGCGTCTGGCTTCCCAGGGGCCCCCTCGAGGAAGGCTTCGGGGCCGCCTTGAGTCAATTTGAGGCCGCTTAAACAGTTTCTGTTAAACCATATGAGGCTAATCGTGGGCCGTCTTGCTCCAGCTGCTAACTGAAGGCCATGTGCTCCTTCCGCCGTCGCAAACCACAATCAAAGGTCAGGCTTGTCCCTGTTCTTGGCCACCCAGGGGCCTCCAGGGCTCCTCGGAAAGGGAGACTTTGGACACTGGAGCTCTCTTGGCCGGTCAAGTGCCGTCTGAGGCTCGTCCAGGACTGGCCGTGGTCCGTCTTGAAGCCTGCCTAGGGAGCCTTGAGATATGGTGGGGCCGCCTTGAGCCCTCGTGAGTTACCCCCCATTGTTTGGAATCACTCATGGAGGTCGGCTACAGGATGAGCGCTTGCGTGACAAACTACAACAACAACACTGAATAACCACCACAACAGCAGCAGCAACAGCAACAACAATAGTTGTTTTTAGACTGCTCGCGCTGATCTGCTCGCGTGTCAATCAACATGTAGATCGCAAACCCTGGATACCCGCCCTCTTCGTCTTCGATCGCACCCCTCTTGGGGGTCTATCTGTCTTACCTGCCACATGTAGTTGGCGCAGCCCCTAAGACAAGAAGATGAGAAAAACATGAAAATACATACAGCGAGGAGGGAAGGAGTGCGGGAAGAGAGGGGGAGGGAAGGGGCAAGGGGGAGGGAGAAAGATGGAGCACGAGAGAGATTAGCAGGAGGGGGGGGTAGGAGCAGGAAAACAAGCGGCAGAACTAGATGGGCGAGTCGAGCGGGCAGACCCTGCCGGGCGGTCGGGCGGGGTGGCCCAAACGGCCGGGTCGAGCGGGCGGGTCGTTGATGCGTCAGTCTCCAGGAATCACCCAGAAGTACGTATCTAGCGATAACGCGAGCTCCCGTGCAAATCGTCAGGAAATCCATAGGTAAAGCATAATTCCTGAGTGTCGAGGGCACGGCGTCTGAATAAATGTCGAGGATGTCCCACGCGAGAGCGCGATTGATACAGAAATTGCACGGCAGTCCCGAGCGAGAGCGCGATTTTTCAATAGATGGTGAGGAAGTATCAGGCGGGAGCCGCTGCTGTTGCAAACCAGGGGCCAACAATACAGTCTGAGGCCCAAAACTTCCCCTTGTAAAAAAACAAGGTGCGAGCAACGGGAGCCGCACACAATTGAAAAAAACACAATGTGCACCGTAGAGGCGATGAACCGTATTTTTGCGAATTGAGAATTTAACAGCAATCATTTTCAGACTACTCGCTCTCATACGGTCGCGTGCCATTGAACATATATCTCCCCAAACCCTCGACACCCGCCTTCTTCGTCTTTGATCGTGCCCTCTTTAGGGGTGCATGGTCCTTTTCTGCCGCGTGTAATTGACCGGAAGAATGGAAAATGGAGAGAACGAGGAGGAAAGGGATGGACGAAGGGAGGGAAGATGGACGTGGGCAAGAGTGAGAATATGGAGGACCAGAGGAAATTCGCCAGAGGGATTAACAAGAAGACATGACAAGGAAGTCTCATGCGAGAGCGCGGTTCTCTGGGAAAACATGATGAACTCCCGAGCGAAAGCGCGATCCCAGAGCGCCGGGAAAGCGATTCGTGAATACAGTGTGTGGAAATCTAAGGCGAGAGCGCAGTTCCTGGATAAATTGCAAGAAAGTTTTTTTGGCGAAAGCACGATCTCCCAATGAACTTTGAGGAAGTATCAGGCGGGAGCCGCTGTTGTAGCAAACCTGGAGCCATCGAAGCAGTCGGAGGCTTAAGACGTCGCCTTGTAGAAACAGGGTGCAAGCCCCCAGAGGGGCACTTCAGTTGAAAAACACTGGGCACTGGAGAGGGGGGATCAACAACAGGTTTTTCAAATGAGCAATCAACAGCAGGAACAACAGCAGCAGCAACAACAACCATCTTTTTAAGACGGATCGTTTTTCGTTGCTCGCGTGTAAATCAACATGTATATCGCAAACCCTGGATACCCGCCCTCTTCGTCTTCGATCGCACCCCCCTTGGAGGTCTATCTGTCTTACCTGCCACATGTAGTTGGCGCAGCCTCTAAGACAAGAAGATGAGAAACCAAAAGCGAGGAGGGAAGGAGTGCGGGAAGAGAGGGGGAGGGAAGGGGCAAGGGGGAGGGAGAAAGATGGAGCACGAGAGAGATTAGCAGGAGGGGGGGGTAGGAGCAGGAAAACAAGCGGCAGAACTAGATGGGCGAGTCGAGCGGGCAGACCCTGCCGGGCGGTCGGGCGGGGTGGCCCAAACGGCCGGGTCGAGCGGGCGGGTCGTTGATGCGTCAGTCTCCAGGAATCACCCAGAAGTACGTATCTAGCGATAGCGCGAGCTCCCGTGCAAATCGTCAGGAAATCCATCGGTAAAGCATAATTCCTGAGTGTCGAGGGCACGGCGTCTGAATAAATGTCGAGGATGTCCCACGCGAGAGCGCGATTGATACAGAAATTGCACGGCAGTCCCGAGCGAGAGGGCGCGATTCTTCAATAGATGGTGAGGAAG